GACATTTGTTTGTGCACGGCCCGCTCGATAGTATTAATATAGATGTAAGTATAATTATAATAATTGTAATTTAAGTAAATAGTGTAAGATACGACGGTTCTTTGCATCAGTCATGAGTTAAAAACAATTATTTAAATGTTTAAGTTCGAGTCGCGGTTTTTGTTTTTTCATCTTTATTTTCCTGTGTACATCCACTTGGTCGTTAGTAACTAGTTTACTACGAAATTTGTTTGTACACGCCCGCTCGATAGTTTTAATATAGTAATAAGTTTAATTATAATTGTAATTTAAGTATAGTTTAAGTTATGACTGATCGTTGGATCAGTCTCTATCAGAAGGTTGGTATTCTATTTTAATAAGCTCGAGTCGAGGTTTTTGTTTTTTCATCTTTATTTTCCCGTGTACATCGACTTGGTTGTTAGTTACTAGGTAGTTAACTACAATATTTGTTTGCACACGCCCACTCGATAGTTTTAATATAGTTATAAGTTTAATTATAATTGTAGTTTTAATATGTAGCATAAGGTACGACGGTTCGTTGAATCTGTCTCATGCAGTATTTGGAATGTATTATTTTTTTAAGCTCGAGTCATGGATTTAGTTTTTTCATTTTTATTTTTATGTGTACATCTATTTAGTTGTTACTTAAGAGTTAATTACGTACAACATTTGTTTGTACAGGTCCGCTCGATAATTTTAATATAGATGTAGGCATAATTATAATTGTACTTAGTATATAATTAAATATATAATAATTTATTGTTTTTTAGAACTGACTAGGATTAAATTTAGTTTACTCGAGTCGAGGTTAGGTTAGGTTAGGTTTTAATATAGATTTAAGTATAATAAATTATAATTTTAATTTTAATATATAGTATAAGTCACGACGATCGTTGGATCAGTGAAGTAATAAATGAAATGAATTATTTTTTTAAGTTCGAGTCGTGGTTTTCTTTTTTCATTTTTATTTTTATGTGTGCATCCACTTGGTTGTTAGTTACTAGTTAACTACGTCATTGGTTTGTACACGCCCGCTCGATAGTATTAATATAGATATAAGTATAATTATAAT